AGGCAATCCACTCACCTCAGCCTCCCAAAGGCGCGGGATGACAGGCTGAACCACCGAGCCGGGCTTACACCAGTTTCTTATGGCAAGTGCATCCACCATTAGAAGCTGGCGTCACCTGTGTGTACAATTGCGTGTGTGTGTGAGTATGTGTGTGAATGTGGATGAAGGGGTAGAAAGAAGTCCGGAGGAGTATAGTAGTGATTGCTGTCTTCGAGGAAGGAAACATCAAGGATGTTCCCCTTCCTCATATTTTATCTCGTTTCCTGTTCCTGCCACCATGCTTCCACACACACCCTGGCCCATGTTTCACTGGGCCTGTGGGCAAGCACTTATGCGAGCATTAAGTGCCCAAAGGGGGTCTGTGGTTACATCTATTCATTCAGGTTGGTGTGTATTGAGTGAGTGATGATCTTGGACCTAGGTACTGCAAACATTTTTGTTTTTCCTTTTTTCTTCTGCTGGGATTTATCAACCTCAATTTATTAACAGTGTAGGGACGGCTACTAAGGACCAGAGTTTGTGGTTACTTGAACAACTGCTTGGCAGTCTGATCAGAGGCCAGTTACAGAGAGTCAGAGTCAGCCATGGAGCGGGAGATCCTAGCTTTCCCTCCTGAGCCTCTGTACCTATGGGACACACAATGCATCCTCCTCCACCATCTGTCAGAGAGCATAACATCACCTGGGAGCTTGGGGGAGGAGAATTCAATGAGCTGATGTACTTAAAAGTGCCTGGGAGAAAGGTCAAGAAAGGAGAAGGAGAAGAGAGAAGATCATGGGCACCAGTGAAAAGAAAAATTTGGTCTGCAAGGGTCATTTTGGGTACCGGGTAAGGAGAAGCCAAAAGTCATCCTCCAGGACACTCCCGTGCCAAGACTTGGGTTGAGCAAGCTACTGGGAATGTCAGCCTGAGGGTTAAATAGCCTCCTAGTGACCTCAGGAAGCACAAAGCCTCCAGGGATTCATCCTTAGCACAGGCCCCAAAGGCCTGGGAGTACCACAAGATCCTCTGTGGTCTCACCTGATCATCCAAGGCTTCCTGTAGGATGGAGCTCATGGGAGTGACACCACTGGAGTGTGTGCATATGACTTTGATAACGAAGAACAATAAAGTGGAATCGGAAATAAAGGGCACGGTAGCTGCCCCATGGGAATAAATGCAACAGGCATTTACCAAGCACATCTGTGTCACCTCTTTTTTTTTTTTTAATTGGAGTCTCACTCTGTCGCCCAGGCTGGGGTGCAGCGGCGCTCACGTCCGCCGCAGCCTCGACCTGTTGGGTTCAGGTGATCCTTCTGCCTCAGCCTTCCAAGTAGCTGGGAACTACAGGCGCGCGCCACCACGCCCGGCTAAGGTGTCACCTCTTTCAACCCAAGGATGAGTTCTCATCAGACCTGTTGTTAGGGCTGAGGACACCCAGGCCCACGGGGGCGGCCGAAGCTGCCCATTGGTCCCCATCAAGCCTATGGCTTGGGTTCCTCGACTCCGGGGAGAGTGCTCTTTCCAGAGGGGGCAGGATCGCAGCGTGGGAGGTGCAGCCCGCCAGCCGTCCCCGG